GAGGGAACAAAAACCATAGTCCCTGCTTCATGGGACTGAAAAGAACTTATAAAGGGAGAGAGATGGGCTTTTACAAGGAGATTAAGAGACAAGCTAATATCCTGATCCTGGAGACCCCATAGAAGGGGCACTTACTCCAGTGTAGGATTTAGGGAAGGCTTCCTGGAGAAAGTGACATCTAGGCTGTGACAAAAAGAACAAACCGGAGTTTGGCAGGAGAAGTTGGAATTGGGACAATGGGGCATCTAAGCATGAGGAAGAGCATTTGCTCAACTATGAGACAAAATCAGACACTTTTCAGGGAAATGCCAGAAAATTGGTATGATCTGAACTGGTGGTAAAGGGGAGCAGTAAGAGATAAGACTAGGAAATTAAGGATTGATTTTTTGGGGACTTACATGCTCTGCAAGATTTTATATTTGGTTTCTGGGGTGGTGGGGAACCTCCCAGAGGGGTTCTGACTTTGGATCCTCTTGAGCTGTCAGCCACAGAGATCAGCGTTTTCTGACACGCTTAGGAAGAGCTGTGGTCTGACAGTGGGACTGGCCATTTGACAAGGAGACCACCCTGGGAAAGTCAGAATGCCCGATGATGGTTAATAATAGCATCTGGTAAGTTGCAGTGATTTCTAAATTCCCTGTGGTTGCTCAGAAGCCAGCTAATGTCCCAAGGCAGGAAGTCATTCATTGTACCTTTTAAAGATGCTTCTCCAGAAAATGAAGGTTACTGACCCAGCACGTAAGAGCGGAGCCTCGGACACTGAGTAGAGATTAGGAAATCAGGTGTGCATCTTGGGAAGAATGCAAACTGGTGTATTAATTGGTTTCTAGTTTATTCTTCTGCTATGAAAGCAAACTCTTTACTTGTTAGAAATATTGCAGTTTTATAGAAGTGAAGAGTTTGAGCTTTTGTCTCAGACACGTCTCAGTTCAAACCTGGGCTTTGTTGTCCATTGGCTGAGGCACTTGGGACCAGTTACCACACTCTCTGTGCCCAGGTTTCTGGGTCTCTAAAATGAAGATAGTAAGAGTAACTACCTTTTATGGCCTTTGGGACTATAAGGTCAATTATGTGAGACAACGTAGAGAAGGTGCTTACCACCGTGCCTGGCAAACAATGGTGAGTACTAATATCTCGAATCAGTCTCCCTAAGATCTGAATGACAAATAACTCTCGAAGGTATATGTATTGGAAAACTGGACATGTAAAGCTGGAGGAATGAATTAATAATGGTAGAATTTCGGATAGAGGGGAAGAATTAGGACACAGAAAAGAGTTGAACCATCCCTGGAGTAGGATTCAGAAAATACCTACAAGCTTATCATCCAATGTCAGGCAATTCCCTCTCTCTCTCCTGCTCCCTTTTTAATTTTTTATTCAGAGCTAATTTCAAACATACAGAAAAATAAATATACTCATGAGATTCATCTATCATTAACATTTTGCCTCATTTGCCTTTTTTCTCTGTACACACACCTGCATTTGTCCAGACGCCTTTTCTGAGCCATACGAAGAAGTTGCCTTTTACCTCTGCATACTGTACTGTGTGTCTCCCAAGGACGAAAATATTCATGAGAAACACACAGTGGAGTCACCACCATCATAAATTCAAGATGGAGACAGCATTTTTATCTAGTCTACTATCCACATTCCAAGTTTGTCAGTTGAGCACAAAACGTACTTTATGGCACTTTTCCCTTCAGTGCAGTTTCCAGCACAGAATCAGGCTTTGCATTTAGTTGGTCATATTTATTTGGTTTCTTTTAATATTGAATGATTCCATCCTTTTCTGCCTTAACATCAGTCTCTCCTTCTGAAACAAAAAGGGGGAATCAGACATATCTGGGTTTGAATCCTGGCTTTCTCACATTAGGGGCTGAGTGACCCCGGGCAGCCTACTTCACCTGCGGAGCCTCAGTCTTCTCATCTGCTAGATGGGAATGCTAATCATCTCTGGTGAGAACTCAGGGAAACTGTGTGTGATGCTAAGGCACTTGATGGGGAGCCTGGGACCTGGTAAGCGATCCGTGCATTTCTTTAATGTAATTAGCATAGTATGATTAATAATGTGTTAGTGACGTAATGTTAGTGCAGCTCTGCCACTTCCTTGCCGTGTGACCTTGAAGAAAATGCTTTGCCGCTCAGAGACTCCATATCCTTGGCTGTCATATGGAGCTTTTAATACCTTCCTCCCGGGACTGAAGGAGACCTCACAGGTAAAGTGTCCAGCGCAAGGCTTGTGCATAGAAATATTCAGGTAATGCCCGTTCCCTTCCTCCTTGCAAATGCTAACTGGCTTCTATCAGCAGTAACACCTCCTGCCTCCATTTCCCTTTTCGTGCAGAAGTCTCGAAAGGCAGACTTCATGGAAATTAACTCCAGGGGCAAAGCCTTGGCAGCAGGTGCTGTCCCATGAGAAGTTCTGGATCCCCAAAGATTCTGCTGTGAAAGAGCAGCTGGGGACTGCCCCCTCCCCATGACCACTTTCCACCAAGTGTATTTTGGAATAATCTTCTCCCTGTTGGTCAAACAAATTGCCGTCCTGGGTGTGGTGGAGGTTTGGAGGAGGGATGGTGGTGCTTGCAGAGTCACTGTGATTCACTGTTGATTGAAATTAGGGTCTGGGGATCCTTGTGACCTTCACGTCACTGCAGAAATCCTGACATGGCGACCACCCAAAACAGAGCTCTCCAGGACCGCCTGGAATGCCCAGTGGTCAGGTCTCAGCCATGTCACCTTCTCGGGGAAGACTTCTCTGACCTCTGCATCCAGTGTTACACCCTACGACCCAGTATCAACCCCCTGTTTTATTGTCTTCTTGACGCTAAGCGCTATCGGATAGCGGGTCCGATTTTTCTGTTTACCTGATTCTTACCTGTTCTCCCCGACCAGGCTATAAGCCCCAGAGGTCAGAGAACGTGACTGTGTTACTCTCCACTGGATCCCCAGTGTATGACATGGTGGCCACCAATTTCATCAGTCACCAATATTTGTAGCCTGAGTCCATGAATCTTTTCCCACTCTGATGGGTCGCAGTAAAGGCAAACTGATGAAGCACACCATGCTTTGGGCCCTGTCATGACTTTGGGGCATATAGTGGGAGTTCAAGAGGGGCCCTGCAATGGATATGTTAGGACCAAGTTAGGAGGATCAAGGCGTTTGAACCCTGGGAGCTGGGAGACCAGCTTCCTCTCTGGGTTGGGATTTTCTCTTTTTCTTCTGTAATTGAAGTTGGTTGTCATGTCCCCATCCGGGGGCTCCAGCCCACCCTGGATGCAAAAACCCTGGGGACTGCCAGGAGTTCCTTTCTGAACCATCTTCTCAAACATGGGGGACATTCCTTGTCCAAATGAGCTGCAAGTGAAAAAATATGAATTTTTGGATGTGAAATGAGGTTACTGATTTGGTTGCTGAAACATACAAAATTCACCCAACATGTAGGACTGTTCCGTGGAATGTGGTGGTCTGGAAAAGGCAGAACCATCACACCCAGTTCTCACTTTATACCCCATAGAATTAGGAATCATAGCTGGGTTCTGAATCTTGGTCACGCTCCATAATATCTGCGTGACTTGGGCAAATGCGTTCCTCTCTTGAGCACCAGTTTCCTCATCGGTGAGTGGAAACCATAATGCTTACCTCACCTGTGAGGATCGAGTGACCTACCCAAGTCAGGGCACCCAGCAGAGGCTGCATAGACGCTTTCCTCATGGGGACACCAGCCAGGCTGGTGCAGGGTCAGAACTGAGGTCTCTGGTGTCAGACAGACCTGAATTTGTATCTCAGTTCTTCCTCTTCCAAGCTGGGCGACCGTGGATAATGCATTTGGCTTCTCTCAACCCTCTGTTTTCTCATCTGTAAAGTGGCCATACTAATGTCTGTACTTCCTTAGGACTACTGGGAGAATCAGCTAGAATGTATCTGTGCATAAAAATGTCAGCCAGGTAGTTATTACTTTTTGAAGGCTTATAAACTCAGATCCTTCCTTCTCAGGCAGAAATGAAACTATCACTGTGGCCAGGTCTGATACGACACCCAAATCCCCAAATAAAATAACACATTTATTATTCAACCAAATCCAGAGAAATAGCTGGTCTCATTCAATGGCAGTATCCTGTGCAACAGAAGGTGACGGACTGGCCTTTAGTGTTGGGTGTGGGGGATACGTCCCAGCTAAAGGACGAGAGAGGGTCGCTGCCTCCTGTCTTTGCTCTGCTGCAACCTCCCCTTGCCCAAAGCAACACACATCCCCTGTTCGCTCAATTTCTCACGCATCTCTAGTCCTCAGGAAGTCACGTCAGCAGGACCTGGTCCTGAGATGTGCTACTGGGGTCTGGCCTGCCTCACGGGGCCTTCCTTCGAGTAAAGCTATGTTGTTTGGTTTGTTTGTGGACAGAGGCAGGGGGCCTCTGGCTCAGAGAGGCAGGCTGGAAATGACCTTCTCTAGCTTGACGCCACAGGTTTGTTGCGAGAACACAGACACACGAGTGGCCACCGACAGTATGTGCTCCAACATCATATACGGGGCGTATTTTGCTCAGAAACATGCCCTGTTAGTTGTTGAAACCTTTTTTGCATTCCCCGAAACAAATGACACTAGAGTGTATTTTCTTTTGGGGGGCTGTAAATAAAAGTCTTTCATGTTGACAATGATAATATTATATTCTACAATCTATTTGCATTTCTGTATTCTGTGGATTTTATTGCTTGGTATAAATCCCCAGGCTGAGGCACATTAAGCTTCACTCAGGGAGAAATGGTACATTTTATCATAGGGCTGGACAGCTGCATGCACAAGCTGTCACCTGCAGGGACTGGTTTTTGCCCAGATGTGCAGGGAATGTGTATAGGGAGAGAGAGATGCATATGTGTGCAGATTTTGGCATGTGTGCATGAAGTCTGGAAGAATTTTCTTTGGATCCACAATCAAAATGGATTTCCAGGAAGGAGCTGGTCTGAGCACACGCCTCTTGTATGTGCTGCATATGGCCCCATCCCACCAGGCAGGTCCTCAGCAAAGCCATCAGCAACAGCTTCAGCTCTGGCCAGAGCTCGCTGGCCCACGTGGCGGGCAGAAACCTGAAATGAGGACAGAGAAGCATCTCAGAGACTCAAGGAGGAATTGAGTCTCCCACCACCTTTCTGCAGGTCTTCTGAACACTTCTGAGCATAGGAGCCTCTTCCTTCAACAGGCAAGTCAGTAGTTGCTGAGATAAACCATGACACAAGCTTGAGCTAGCGTTACTATCAACCATCAGCTGTCCACTGAGCACTGACTGTGTGCCAGGCATTGTGCTAAAGCACGCTGTCATTTAATCCTTACAACAATCCCTATGAGGTAGGTGAGACTATTACCCCCCATTTTACAGATGGGGACCCTGAAGCCTGAAGTTCCGTAGCTGGGAACTTGCAGAGCAGAAATTCATTCCCTGGGCCATCTGGCTCCGGCCGTAGTTACTCATGGCAGGAGAAAATATGCTAAGTATGCCTTAAGAAACCATCAGTGATGGTCACAAAACCACTCCCCTGCCAGGGATAAAAATACGGAGAAAAAAAAAAGAATGAGTAGTGATTTTAATGGGATAATTACATTATCCCATTATGTTGGGGAATTATGTTGTTTGGTTGCTTGGCATAAATTAATTTCCATAATGTTTTTCTGTTTCAGTCAAGGCTTTCTTTTTTCTTTTCTAGTGATGTTTTCCAGGTGTAGGAAGTAGGAATATATTGGGCAGCTACTTCGAAGAGCCTTTGGCTCTATTAAAGGGCTTGGTTGTAGCTTCACCCCAAATACCTTGGAAAATTTGAGCAGAGAGTCCCTGCTCTAGATCCATTCGGAAGAACCCCCCAAACGTGGTGGTTTCTGGGTCACCGGTTAGGTTAGGCAAATGGGGCTTCTAGATACTTAACCTTTAATGGAAAAATTCTGTGGTTTGGATTACTGAAGTCATAAAGTGCTTATTTAATTATGGTTCAAGCCCATTTATCTGTTTTTGAGTCTAAGGAAGATGCACTCCATCAGAAAGGATAGATGGAAGGGGATTAATACACGATTTTCCTTTTTTTTTTCCCCTACTCATTTGAATGGCTGTTTTCAAGTTGAACTTTTAAGTATGGCATTTGTGAGTGAAATCGCCCCTTTTATTTTCAAGGTAACTGAATCCCATTTTTCACTTTCCATTTCCTTCTAGAAGAATCAAAATGTTTTTAGAACTTAGCTTCTCAGTGAGCGACTTTACCAGGTGGGCACTTCGGTATCATAAAAGAGACTGGTGTGGCAAGGACATTCAAGACAGGGGCGGTCAGGCCTGTCCTCTGCAGCTGAACCAACCCCCTCGGCCTCAGAGAGCATATTGATTTCACTGTGTTTGCACTTGAAACACCAAAGGAATGTCCACACCTTGTCCTTGGGCCAGGCCTAGGGGATGGGAGAGGTAGAAGTCTAGCCAGAATTTTGTCACCCTTGGAGCAGCAGAAGGGCAATATTACTCAGAGGCAAAGCCTGGAACCATGTGCTAAATTGGCTTAGATCAGTGTCTCCAAAAGTGTCAGACAAATGAGAGTTGACCTTAGGTGACATTGGATGGGACTTTAATATTGGATCCCATAGTAACTTACGATTATCTTTCCAACTGTCTTTCAATCCTTCTGATTACATACATAAAGGACAAAGTCTCCGCTGGATGCTCTGTCTTTAACATTTTTCTCATCTCTGTTTTTTATATAAAGAAATACCAGGCCTGAGTCTTGGGCCTTTAGAACATAACTGTTTGCAATTAATAACACTGTTTTATTTTTCATTGTTTTGTTTTTATTTATGACAACCTCTGATGGATGGCACTTTCAAAGGTAGGATATAAAGTTTTATTTTAAGATGAATGGATGAAGATGTTTTTTACTATTAAGTAAGTGATTTTGTGTGTGGGTGTGGCAAAACTCACCCGCGTGGCATAGGAGCGCTGATGTTTGGGATGCACCGCTTTAGGTGGCCCAGCAGGAAGCTGGCGGTTGGTTTCTCCCAAACTCACAGATGTGATTTCTGACCGTCCCTCTGCCCCTCACTAGCTGTGTGCCTAGCTTCCTTGAGCTTCAGTTTTCCCATCTGTAAAGTGGGTATGATGAGCTGCTGGAGAAAAGCTGGCTTCTTCCATTTCCTGAGACAGAATGGGCCCTATGGTTGCTATTCACAGAGACGCTGACCCCTGGGCCAAGCCTCCAGAGGTGCAGGTTCCCTTACCTTGAGTTGTGTTCTGTTTCCTTAGTGCTAGGGCTCTGAGTGTGCTGCTGGGTGGGAAAAAGGTGAGATACAATTCCTAAACCCCGCAGACTGGTGAAGAAGTGTGCTCCTGAGGCCAGAAAATCAAGAAGACACCCATCTGGCCAACATGGCTCAGCAGCATTAAGGTCAAAGTTTTGTGCACCGGCAGGCTTTCCCCTTCTCAGGCTGCAAATCTTTGGCAATTGGAGGCAGGCTCCGGATTAAGCTTAATTAAAATTCACTCTTAATTAGGGCCATTACTTAAAATCAACCCTATGTAATGAAGCTGTGTAATCATAATTAAGCGCCAGAAATGGAATTAGGAAGCATAGAACACGAAAGCCAAACACAGATGGGCCCAGGGCCTATGAGGACAGAGATAGGACTTCTGGATTCAACAGAATTTTCAAATAGCTAAGGACCAATGATTGCACTGACAAGAACCTTGGTGGCCATCAGGGCAATGATGAGGATTTGGGATAAATGGGACCCTGAGAGGCAACTTGTGTGACATTATGGATGAAAGGATGGGGCAGCATCAGGCAGAGGGGACCAATGTGTGGTGACGAGGGACAGGGACACTTAACAATTTTATACTGAAAACTTACTATGTATCCAGCAACGTTCTGTCTTTTTTTAATGTATGAATGAGCTAAATTTATTGTCATGATCACTCTATGAATAGGTATTATTATTTCCTTCAACATACAGATAAAGAGTCTGAGGCTCAGAGAGGTTGAGTAAATTGCCCAAGGTCACACAGCAAGTAAGTGGCAAATACTAAGGGCTGCACAAAGGATAGTTATTATTATAAAGTACTATCTGCCTATCTGTTTAATCTGTTGGTCAGAGCTAGTAAGAACTATAGACAACACATGCCTGGAAGCTAGGCATAAGTGCCAAGGGAGGTCACTCACCCATGCTTGTCCCCAGATCCCAAGCCTATGCCTCTGTTACTGCCAGGGTAAGCCAGGCATGTAAAGTCAGAGAGGAAGGTACTATCGGGGGCTGATTCTAGAGCTGTGGAGCTGGAGGCAGAAGAGAAAGTAAGAGAGAACTCCCTCTGATGCCTGTTTTTTGACTGAGCATTTCCGTTTTCCTTGCTCAGGAGACCCCTGGGAATTATGCTCAGGAGTGGCTAGGGGGATGTGTGGGCCCCTGTAGCTTCCCCCCGCCCCGAGCCCCTAGTTGTTCAGAGGGTGGCTCATACCTCATATATATACATATATATATGCCTACTCTGTGCCTGGCATTGACCTGGGCTCCATGCGTATGTTATCAGAGCCCTACAAATCAGGAATCATCACTCCCATTCTACAGATGGGGAAACTGAGACTCAGAAAAACAAAGCTATCAGCTCACTGACCACTGTGAAGTACATTCTTTTTATTCCACTAGACACCATGCTGTCCCAGAGATCCTGTCCGGGCTGGGGTGCCTCCCAGACTCTATACCTGCTCATAGTCAAGTCAGACCAGCAGGAAGGACTTCTCAGATTTAGAACCAAATGTGCCTGTGGTGCTGGAAATGTCCTGCAGTTCATATTTCCCAAATAGCCTCAGACCTATGCAGTGAATCCTCTCTGTGACATGCACTCCACAGTGCTTGTCTCCTGTGAGGGGGACGCCATTACTTACTGAGTGAAATTCTTCATTTTTTGGAAGATAGTGTAGAAGGAAAGTTTGGTCTAGGCCTAATGATCATTAAGGACTTCCAATTCCAGACTTTTGATACCTCTGAGTTTATACACATAGTCCATAGTGAAAGTGTTCATCTGTTAAATGCAAATGTTTCAATCACATCGCATTTTTTTTCTTTGCAAAGCTGTATTAGCCTTTCCCCTTTTTTAGCACCCCAGAACCTGAATTGAAAAAAAAAAAAAAACACAGGGGGTGCCTGGCTGGCTCAATCAGTTAAGTGTCTGCCTTTGGCTCAGTTCATGATCCCCGGGTCCTGGGATCGAGTCCCACATCAGGCTTCCTATTCAGCAGGGAGTCTGCTTCTCCCTCTACCCCTCCCCCGCCGCTCGTGCTCGCTCTCTCTCTCTCAAATAAATACATAAAATTAAAAAAAAAAAAGAACACAGGATGTGGCTGGTCCATTGTCCATGTCCAGGAGGCCCTGAGAATTATCAAGGACATTTCCGTTGGGCTCGGATCTGTCCGTTTGCATGTTCGCACTCTGGGTTCAGGGTTAGGGAGCATTCGTTCCCTTAGTGCCTCTTACTTATGCCCTGGCTGTCCTTCACATGGGGGTGTGGGAACTAGAGGGAAGTCTTGCTCTGATAAGAATAGGTTCAAGTTTGCTGCTCAGTATCCACATTACAGAGCCAAGAATCCTGCTGGTTTGAGGAGGGGGGTCAATGGTGGGGGTGTAGAGAGGCTGGTGGCCAAATCAGACCCTACTTTGCCAGGAACGGAACAGCTTCCCTGTGCACCTGCCAGGCTGCCCCACCACACAACTCCAGGGGGCACCCTTCACATGTTATTCTATGTAAATCCCTCCCCATGGGGCTGTGCCACACGGAGGCCCTAATGCAAACCCCAATCCCAAAGGGCACCTCCAAAGGGAACTAGTGCTACATTAGGGAGCTAAACCCCAGATTGCAAGGTGTTCACAGACACTGGCTTGTGAGGAGGCCACCATCCCTCGCCCAGCCGTGACCTCTTTGTCCTTTATCCTGAGACCATTTGCCTCTATTTACACTAAATAGCCACAATGCCATTTGCTGGTTCCTGTATTTTGGGCAAGCTGAGCTGGAGGCCGCTACAGCCGGTCTGAGCAGGCAGCTGTCCTGCTGGTGGTCACGCGGGAGGTCCCGCTCTTCCAACAAAGTTTAGCAAACATCTTATCTCCCACAAAACTGGTGATGTAATGTTTATGAAAGATCACTCTGCCCCCCTTCCCCTGGGCCGTGGGCTGCCAATGTGACCAACCCGTGCCGGAAGGTAGACCCTCCTCGGCCACCATGCTTCCCTCATTTCCTCTCCTCCTTCATTTGGGTAGAAAACCTTACTGAGGTCCTTCCTCACT